ACCATAGCTCCATACGATCCTCTTTATAGATAAATATATTATGTTAATTAATGTAAAATGTCAAAATAATAATAATAACTAGCCAACACTTACCAAATGTATGTAAAAAAAATACTTTAATCTTACAGAAAATATCAGGATCTCCATTTCGATATTTAAATGCTAATTCATCTAACATATACAAACAACCAACGAATCCTTTTACATGATCCCATGTTGAGCGGGGTTTATCAACCAAACCATGCCCGCCACTCATTTCCAAATGCGCAAGCTCTAGATTATCGAATTTAAATACCCCATCACAGAGCTGTGAAACATCCGGTTGTTTGTATCGTGACCTGCACGAGTCTATACAACCCAATGCTATTTCCCCACTGTAAAGGCAAAAAAACCAGTCAATGTAGAGAAAAATCAATCATACAGAGAAAACATAATACATATATTTATACAGGATTGACAACTTACGGTACATATTTAAAATGAGATTCTAAGCCTTCTAATAGCCACATTAATGTCGGGTGGATGATAAAACCACCATAACTGGCTTCAGAAACATCTCCACCCGACATTACTGAATGGGGGGGAAATACAAGTTCGTTACTGCAATGAACAAGTAGAAAAATTCTCATTAGTTGTTCACCACTCTAATTGTGTCCGAAAAAAATTTTTTTATATGTTTAATATACAAATGCTCACAAATGATTGATCACCCGAGAAAAAAACATGAGTTTATCGGATTCCATCGTCTTTGATACAATTGAGGGAGAATAAATTGTTGCCCGTATCTCGACTTTGGTTTGCTGCTTATAGATCACAAATGTAAATAAAATAACAAACTAATTAAACCACTTAAAAAAAACTTACTTCATTTAAAAAAATTTTTATTAAAAAATCCTGTGCTTCTTCGTCAAGACATGATACAAAAGGTGTCCAAATCGATTGTATCATTTTGTAGTCATCTTCCGAAATCCATTTCGGGCATGCAATTTTTTCTCCGCATCTTATTGTATTAAATTTTTCTGGCCTAAAATTAAAAGTTTTTTAAGTATTTACAAAAGAAAATATAAAAATATCTCTAATGTTTAAATTAGACTAACATTAGT